AGGGGAGGCCCGGGACCGGTTCCGATAAACGTCACTGGCGTTGGCCGTGAGCGGGAATCGAACTCGGGTCGCAAGGTTCATAGCACAGCGCGCTAACCACTACACAACCGCTCCCCACACACAAAGACAAAGACTCCGTATAGCCTTCAAGAGACTGTTGGGGCAAGTGCTCTTAGCAAGCACCTATGAAGGCCAGACTTCACCACATTGGTCCAGTCAGGATTAGTGGCTCCCCGAACACAGCTGTGAAACTCCCGTCCCGTGCGCGTCGAGGAGGAGCCGTATACCCTGGCTCGCCAGGAGGCGGTCCTAAAAAAATTAACCCGTAAAAACAAAGTTTTTCACTATAAATTCTTTATATGCGTGGCATCGGGGCGGCTAGAGTCATCTCGTCCTCTGGCTTGATATGGCTGCCACCTATGGGTCAGATGATTGTGTGCCAGCATTAACCAATTGGTAAATAAATATTTTAAAAACATTTCCCTAAACAGTGTAAAATTTTGGGAAAAAATGTTCACGAAAATTCATTGTCACGCACAACGAGTCTGTGTGCAAAATGTCAGCTCGATTGGATCACGGGAAGTGGGTTAAAAAACGACCGAAAGATTTGCACGGTCGCAAGCAAGCAAGCGCGCGAACTTAATATAAAGGATTTAAAAAAGTGTCGACTGATATCATCTTTCCCTTCTGCACGGGATAGAGCGTTGCTCCCTCGCTCGTACGAGCGGGGTTTCCTCCAGATGCTCCGGTATTCCTCCCACACGTGTAGAAAACTCACGCATTAAATTGGCCAGAAAGCGTCTCAATATATCCGTAGGACTGCAGAGCTTGGGAAAAATATTGGGTAACGGCGGCTCCTCGCCACTGATTTGCCTGCTGCCGCCTGTCCCGCTCGACTGTGGTTCCTCCTCTGAGCGCCTCTGAGCCGTCCTCTTCTCTCTCCGGAGCGTTCCGGAGAGAGGAGAGGGGGAGAAGCGGATGCCGTGCGGTAGCGGGGAGAAGGAGGAGGGGGGGGGGGCAATGCTACGAGTTAGAATTCGACAAACGTTTATTTGACAGGGACACTTTCTGCGACAAGCACCGTGCAACGCGTTCCATCGCAGGTAGCCGCAGCGTCGACAAGGCGTGGACACGCGGCCCTGCCAACACCAATGTCCCACTCAGCGCTTCAGCGGCGTTTAATACAGTCACGGGGGGAGGAGGTGGAGTAGGAGGGGGTTGTCAGTGCCATGATGACCCCCAGCAGTGGATTTAGCGCGGAGGGATACGAGAGGAGACGGGACCGAATGTGTTATTGGCAGCAGCAGCAGCAGAATAGCGAGATAGAGAGAGAGCGAGTGGTGTTGCGTTGTGGGTTGAGTGTAAAAATGATGAGTCTGCGAACCCAGTTTGATTCCTGCCCTCGGACAATAACATGTGGCGAACATCCTGACCCCCCCCCCCCCACCAGAAAAGCAGTGACGAAAACGGACAAAGTCGCCCTCGGCACTACACCTCAACCAGCCCACCCACCCACCCCACAGATGAAACACCATTGACGCTCGCCACCCCCAAAACCAACAACTTCATCACTGTGACGTACTCCGCACTCTCGACTTGCATCACCACCACCGCCTTAAATACCACTGCACTGCCCGAAATACCACCCCTACTCATGCCACCAATCACTCACTCACCCTCATCACCCTCACCACCACTCCCCCACTCATCCACCACCCCCCCCCCTTTCACTACTCCCACCAGAAGCCCCACCTGCTCACAGACGCGTCCCATAGTCCAGCAAGTCTCCGTGCAATGTTTGTGTCTCTCTGTCTGTCTCTGTCTATCTACCTGTCTGTCTCTATGTCTCTGTCCGTCTCTCTGTCTCTGTCTATCTACCTGTCTCTCTGTCTCTGTCTGTCTCTCTGTCTGTCTCTCTCTGTCTCTCTCTGTCTCTCTGTATCTCTGTCTGTCTCTCCGTCTCTCTGTCTCTCTGTCTGTCTCTCTGTCTCTCTATCTGTCTCTCTGTCTGTCTCTCTGTCTGGCTGTGTATTTGTTTTCCCTGCCCGCCTGTGTCCATGTATCCGTCTCCTATCCCTGTGTGTCTCTCTGCGTTTCTGTCTTGTCACTGTGTGTGTTTCTCGGTCTCTCTGTGCGTGTCTCGTCTGTCTCGCTGTATTTATGCCTCGCTGTCTCTGTTTATTTGTCCCTCTCTACGTCTCTCCGTGTGTCTCTCTGTCTTTCTGTCTCTGTCTCTCGGTCTCTTCCACTATGTATTATATGTTCTTCTCAACTCTCTGCTCGCGTCTTTCTCTGGGTCTCTGCCTCTGTACGTCTCTGTATCTCTCCAATTGCGTCTCAACTCCTTCTGTAAACAACTCTCCGTCTCTCTCTCTCGTTGTCTCCTCTCTCTCACACACACACACACGTCCCTCAACCGTGATTAATGACCTCGCATACTCTCCGATAATTATAATCACTCAGATTATGTGACTCAGATCCCGCACCCCACAGCCCGGCTGGCACTCGAACCGGTAGCACGTGGTATGCAGGGATTGCTGATCCCCCCCTCCCCCCCATAAACGAGGGGGGAGGGGTATGGAGGGGGGAGGGGGTAGGGAGGGGGTAGGGAGGGGGTAGGGAGGGGGTATGTTGGGGGAGGGGGTAGCGTGGGGGAGGGGTAGGGGGGTAGCGTGGGGGGAGCGTTGAATCACATTGCACGATCCATCCCATATACCCCCTCGGGTAGCGATTCTACACAAGGCCGGTTACGATCCATCAGTTCTGCCCAACGTTTTAATTGGCTACCGATACAATGTGGATGGCTGTCGCAGACGGTGGTGGCGTTGTAAGCGGTGAGCAGCGCGGCCGGACTTGAAACCCAGAGAGAAGGGGGGATCCCATCTCCCCCGGCGAGGCAGGCAGGTGAAGAAAATAAGTTGGGCGAGTTCACAAACCGCCACCACCACCACAACCACCACCACAACCACCACAACCACAACCACCACCACCACAACCACCGCCACCAGCACCACCTCTGCCCACTTAGCCAATGGGGTTAACCACAATTAGGCTATGATCCGGGAGGTTACGTGTGGTGGGGTAAAGTGTGGATAACTCCCACCTCTAGAGCTCCCCTCTAGTGGAGGCTCTTCCACCAGCAGTGCAGTGAGCAAAGTCATTGCAGGGCTGCGCCTTTATCTCTCACAATGGGGGTCCCTTCGTCAATTAAAGTCGATGGTTAATGTGATGATACAAACATTGACTCACGTGAGTTTAGATTAGATTAAGATATGCAAAACGAGATGCAATTCGGGCTCACGATGTGGCCAACTGACGCTGTGTGTTTAACTTCTTTCGCACCGTACGTAGCCGACCGTGCTAACGGGAGGTGCTGGGGGGGGGTTACAACAAACGCAAGCACGAAAAGCAGTTCAGACGAGGAACAATACCGAGAAGACGGATCCAAGAATACAGAACCAACCTCCATCCACTCCCGGATTGAATCATGATCTCGATTCTCGACTCCGTGTAGAAATATCTCTCCCTCTCTCTCGGCTCTGGTTTAACAGTCTTATTCGTGTATTCCTATCTCCGTGTCTCTCTCTCGGTAACAAATAACCAAAATCACATCTCTCTCGGTAACAAATAACCAAAATCGAATCTCTCGTTACATTCGTAAATTACACACAGTGGCTTCTAAGTTTGCGTTTTTGTCAGCTGCGTTACAATGACGACGATGATGGTGATCAGCATCGCCTCCTCTCTTCCACTGCTGATGAAATTTTCTCACCTCCACAACCCTCGGCGGTGGCTAGGAGATGTTAACTACCTCGCCTGGTGTGCAGGAGGTCGTAGGTTAGATCCCGACCCTGACGCCTGCTGTAGTTTTGGGAGTTGTGCGTGTTATCTCCCCGTGGTCGCGTTGATTTTTCTCCGGGTCCTCTCGGGGGTTTTTCCCCTCCACGTTTAAAATCAACATCACGCGTTTAGAGTATTTGGCTGCTATATATTTTAACGTGATAAGCCACCTCGTTGAGCTATTATTTGTGGCCAGGTCGCTTCTCACAAAGAGCCCTACAGCTCAGTGGGGCTTAGCTGGTAAAATAAAACAAAGTAAAATATAACCTCTTGTTGTAACAGCTCTCTCGCTGTTTCAGCAGTTGCACTGCTGGATTATTTTTTTCCGCCTGAGGACGGCTGCTTGCGTTGTGGCCGAAACGTCGTGAAAATTATTTTATTATGTTTTATTATTATTTTATTATTTCCATTCTACGTGACTTTACCGAAATAACCAAGAAGATGAATCCCTGCAGTCCCGAAAGCTTTAAATCGAGAAATATTATTTTTTATTTTATTTTATTCTTCTAAGTACGTGACTTTATTGAAAGAACCAAAGAGCATACAAAAATACATCCCGTTTTCTTTATAGCTCAGAAGTCGAAACTGGGGTGATTCAATCCACTCCACCACCAAAAACAAAGATCCCCCGTATAGTCATTTAAAAGCCTATTGGGGAGCGTACTGTTCACGAGCGAGAACTTCCGAAGGCCGGCACGGCACACGAGGGGGTGTGTGGCCAGCACCACGCGCGGCCGACTTTGTCTCCCCAGTAGCGATGTTTACACACCGCATCAGTTACTCATTTGAGGCCGAGTCAATCTAGGGGCGAGGCCCAGGATCGGTTCAGATAATCGTCGCCCGTGCTGCTGGGACCGCGAGCGGAAATGGAACTCGAGACGCCGGGTTGGCAGCGCGGTGACCTAACCACTGCGCCACCGCTCCGCACCCCTCCACCGCCACCCGCTGACACGGCCGTGATGACAGCTGCTCAGCTGTGAACCAGTGGCATGCAAACAAATTCCCGAACAGACAATTTACCCTGGGCTAGGATTCAGCCGAGCCATCCACTCAACAAAGCCAACGATTCCAGCAATGCGGACCGCATTGACTGTTGGGACAAGTGCTTTTAGCGAGCACCTATTTCGGGGTCGACACACACAATCACACTTCTCACTCACCAGGACACCCATCATGTCGTCCATGAGTTGCTTGCTATCCGAACTTGCTCCTTCTGTTGCAGGTTCAGCCGTAACAGCCGCAGATGACTCATCGCCAGTATCGACCTTCTCGGCCGCCGCCGCATCCTCCTCCTCCATCATCTCTTGAATCGTTGTGCGGTTGAGTTCTTCTCGCTCTCCTCAAGTCCCTCTCCCCCTGCGTCTCTCCACTCTCGCCCCGGTCCCTCTCCTCGCAATCCAAAGCAACTCTCTGGTCGTCTTAAAACCTATTCGTATGAACCACCTCTTCGTCAGAACCACCTCTTCGTCAGAACCACCTCTTCGTATGAAGCACCTCTTCGTCAGAACCACCTCTTCGTATGAAGCACCTCTTCGTATCAACCTCCTCTTCGTATGATGCACCTATTCAGTCCCGTGTGTCCCTGCGTCGTCTTAATGGACAACTTCGAAAAAATACTTTGCGGCTCATCGGATTCCTCCGGTCTGGAATTCAGATCCTGATATTTCTGTCACGGTTTCAACACCGGATATTTTCTGGACCAAATCCAGTGGAGATTAAAAAGAAAATACACCAACCCCTGCGCCCCCCAAATCCCACCTCTTTCTCACCTCGTCTCTTTCCTCTCCCCCCACCGCACCTCCCTCTCAGAGTAAAATATCGTAGCCCTGCCGAGTTGTGTGCCCAGCGAGAAATCACTTGGCGCAGGCTATCGGCGCAAGGAAGTACCCACGTGGTGGTGTTTTGTTGTAAATCTCAACCACGGAATTGGAATTTCGTGCCCTTCTTTTACTTCACCTCCCCGCCACGAACGCCACCCTCAAAAAAAATCCCATAAAAAATAAACCTGGGGTAGGTCACCAGAGGCGAAGAGGCGAATCTAATTTGTAAACCAAAATCACTCCGCGTACAATTAATTATTGCTTGCCTCCTGCCAGTAAAGTTCAACAAAGCATCACAATCAACGCGAGTTAATATTTAATTGTTTGCTATTGACTTTCGACCAACAACTTCACAATAAACAACCCAGACTCCCTCTTGTCACTCACTCTCCACCCTCACGACCTCTCCACCCTCACCTTCTTACTCGTCCACCCTCTCCCACTGCCCCTTGTCTCTCCCTCCCCTCGCTTCCTAACTCTCCGTCAACACCAACTTCTGCAGTGACCTCTCTCAACTCCTCAAACACAAATCCGCTGCAATTCTCCCCGTCTCTCTCTCCCCGTCTCTCCTCTCCCCGAGCTGTCGTCCAGCCTCCTCAAAGAACAATCTCAAAATCTTCTTGGAGGCTCCAACAACCACTCAGGGAGTCGTCACCTCCTCCTCCTCCTCGAGTCACCCCGCGACTCTCTCAGTCGCCGTGCTGACAGTTATCCACCTCGCCACGTTGTCCACCATGCCCCGCTGAGCAGAGTGCCCGATGTGTTTGTTGTTGTCGTCTCTAACAACCCAGTCGAGAACGTCCAGGCTCTGTCGAACTCATATTCTTAGGTTTTTTTCGGTAAAGTCACGTAGGTAAAACATTAAAATTAATAAAAGTAAAATAAAATAAAAATCACGACGTTTCGGAGGCAACACAAGCTTCCGTCTTCAGGTGGAACCGTCACAGCCACGACAGCTGTATCAAGTAAATGAGAGATTGCAGGAGCTACCACCCCGTTTATATAATGGTTGTCGAACTCGCCGACGATAATCCAGCAGTGGAGTTGACGCTCGGTGGCAGCTCTCGATCTGAGCGGCGCGCGAGAGTTGGATGAATCATGACGCTTTGATGGCAGCTGAACGCACACGCCAAAGTTGCTCTCAGCTCTCGTCTCTCTCAGCCTCGCAGTGCCGCTTCTTGCAGCAAGTACCAACGGTCTCCGCAAAGGCTTCTCTGGGTCTTCTCAGTCTCCCTCAAGGCTCTCTCTCTCTGTCTCAGCCTCTCCCCGCACCCGGCCACACTACGTCCCTTAAGCTCTCTTTGTTTCCTTCGCCATTAAGAGAGGGCGAGAGAGGGAGGGAGCCGTGAATGATGGAGTCCGAACCCTCGTCCGCGCCCTCGTTTAAAAAAAACAAACAAAACACAACCACCGGCGTTGACGAGGTGAGCAGTGAAGGAGTGAAACTCACAAACTCCCGGGGCCGAACTAAACTAACTTCGTTTTCCAGCGCGACTCGGCCGCCGCCGCCGCTGTTGTGTCAACTCTTACTAACCCCTCCCTCCCCCACCACCACCAACCACATTATCCAGTCTCCCACGACCTGCATGCACACACCATCATCCACCCTGCCCCTCCTCCCTCCCTCCCTCCACCTCTTCCCCCCCTCTCCCCCCACACAGGCACAACCTTTTTTGGGGGAGGGAGGGAGGGGAGGGAAACAAAGTGATGTCAAAAGCATTTTAGACTGTGCCAAGTTGGGTCCCTGCTGCATTCGGGGTGGGCGCGTGGGAAGGGAGGGCTTTGTGCGAGTAGGAGAGGGGGATGAAAGTGTGTTTATGCACGCACGATCTACCCCTCGCACGCACGGCTCAGTGGACTTGTCCGAGAATTGCACTCGGGTTTGTTTCCGTCGCTTTTAAAGAACCACGTTTTCTCGTCCTTCCTGTCCCACCAACCAACCACACTGGACGGGACAAACGTAGGTTTGACACCCGGCCACGTGACCAAGCCGGGAGGGCAATCGGATGACTCAGTCCATCATCATCATTATCCCTCCAGGGTCGGTAAACTTGTCCGAGAATTGCCCTCGGGTTTGCTTCCGTCGCTTTTAAAGAACCACGTTTTCTCGTCCTTCCTGTCCCACCAACCAACCACACTGGACGGGACAAACGTGTAGGTTCGACACCCGGCCACGTGACCAAGCAGGGAGGGCAATCGGATCACTCAGTCCATCATCATCATCCCTCCAGGGTCGATAAAGTTAGTACCACGTTGTGTCGGGGAAATCAACAATGGGTAGTCTTATGAATAGACTCTCCCCCACCATAGGAATGTGGAATTTCCACCACTGGCTTAGGCCCTGTGGAAGAGATGAGCACGACATCCACACTCATTTGAGCAAGAAACTACTTAGACGTTTTCACAGTTTGGCGGAGAGCTCTGTCCGATAAGATCTGGTAACCCAGCAGCATAGATGTAAGAATCCTGCTGATGAGACCCAGAATATGGAAAACTGGTTCAGAGATGTGTTTCCCTTAAACAAACGCTGCCGCTGCTGTGATAATATTGGAGACTGGGCACGCGACCTGTAACCCAGCACTGTGAAGGCAGTGGCGAGGGTTGGTGGACCACACAGAGATGGCGTGAAACTCCATCCCCGTTGGCGTAGAGGAGGTGCCATACCCTGGTTCGCCCCGAGAAGGCAGTCTCGCAAATGTGGACTCCACTTCTTGCATCTGTAGGGGATAGAGCGTTGCCCCGTCACACACGTGCGTTTTCTTCGGGTGATAACACGAGCTAACCAGAACCCTACTCCCTAGCCCTCACAACATTCGCTCACCAGACCCTATTAAGTGGATTATCGGCGTCCAAAGCGCTCGGAGACGGCCTCGGTATGAATGGCGCTCTCATGTGTTGACTGACTGAGATGAGGACCCTGAGGCGAGCGAGGAAGATTGTGGCCGACTCCTCTCACCCTGGTCACTCTCTGTTCCAGCTACTCCCCTCCGGCAGAAGGCTGCGGTCCATCAGGACCAAAACTTCACGCCATAAAAACAGTTTCTTCCCATCCGCTGCTGGCCTCTTCAACAAGGTCAGGGGCTCAAACTGACTTTAACGCTCAAACTGACTTTAACACAATATCTGCACAATTACACTCTGCCATATTTGCACTATGTTACCCTATTTGCATTTTTGTAATTTTATATTGTATATTATAGCTATTGTGTATTTTAGATTTTATTTTATTAAATTTTTACATACTTTAGCTCCTTAGTATTAGACTTGTACCTTTAATATAGTTAGACTTGTAAACCACTTATTTAAGATTTAAGATTCCTAAATGTTGATTGTATGCACCTTCCGGCCAAAGTAAATTCCTTGTCTGTGCGAACTTTCATGGCGAATAAAACCCTTTCTGATTCTGAATGGCAAATGCACCACCTGTGCCCCCTCCTCCCTCCCACAACTGTGCCACCTCGCAACCTTTTAACCGCCCGGCGCTCCGCTCGTTGTGGTGAGCGTCACTCCTCCTCTACCCTCCGCTGTTGTTGCTTGAGAGCGACGGCTCCTCAACTTGCCCGGTAGCGTCCTTCACGAGCCTCCTCCTCCTGCTCCAAAGGGGCCGATCTCGACACCGCTGGTACCCGTGATTGGGCACACACACGCGCTCCCCGCCACTCCCCGCTTTCCATTCATGCTGCAGCTCCCTCTAAAGGAATGTGAAGTGACGACAGTCAGTCAGACAGTCTGTGCTCTGCAGAGGGCCCCGGGCTTGTTGAGTCACGGCAACCCATACCCAAAGGACATTTAAAACTGGAGCCAGCGGACTTTGTACCTGTACGCAAATTAAACATCCGCAATCGTTCGAATCGCCGCTGTTTTGGTTTTTCCCGTGCGCCTTTTATGGGCTGGTGTAACCCCAGTAAAAACAAATCAAAACGTTGGGCCCACCTTGGTCCAACGGTTCGACCCACATGTCAACAACGTCGCACCAACGTCGGAAACGTCTGCTCGGGTGCAACGTCGCGTATCCGACTCGCCGGGGCGGAGGGGTGGGGGCGGGGAGTGACAGGCGTGACGTTTGGCGAGTCACGTGGTGACGCGTTTAACAATCATCGGGCTAGTGCAGCAGCGTGGAAACCGAGTTTAATATGTACGTGAATGGGCGAAGATTAAATCGGTGAAGGCGGAGAGACGGAGCGTGGTGGTGGCGGTGGCGAGGATTGAGGGGGTGGGGCAGTGAGGACTGGAGTGTGGGAACTCCCTGACTCGCGAATTCTCAACGCAGCGAAGCCTCCGTCAATCAAATGACCTCCGATCTCTAGGAGCGCGATTCTTGCAAATGGAACTTCGTGAAGTTGAATTTGTTTTTTGTGAATTTATATATTTACTTCCCCCCCCCCTACAGCCACAACAACAACAACAAATGGTCCACGTGACGATAAGCCACTTCTTTTCGATTTAAAGCTTTCGTGACTGCAGGGATTCATCTTCTTGGTTGTTTCGGTAAAGTCACGTAGAAGGGAAGTAATAACATAATAAAAATAAAAAAACACAATAAAATAATTCTCACGACGTTTCGGCCACAACGCAATCAGCCGTCCTCAGGTGGAGACCAGGTCTGTCGGGGAGACAGCGTCCCACTTCTCGTTGAGCTATCATTTGTGGCCAGGTCGCTTCTGAAAAAGAAGCGACATTGCTCAGTGGATCTCGCCTTGTAATATACAAACATAGTTTCGTTTTATATGTTTTATATTTATTTTAAGTGATGTGTTTTCCTTTCCTATACTTTGCACTCCGATCGTGTTTCTGTATTGTTTGTTGTCGTAACCGTCTGACCCCGTGTCCCCAAATGGACATCTGTGAAAAAGAGCTTCATAGCTCATCAGATTCTGCCAGTATAAACACATATTCTGATTTTGAACAACAACCATCACCGGCAGGACCACACACAGGATCGGGATGCAACAGCTTCCAAGCGACGCGTGCATCGCAATCATAGCGAACCCCCATCAGCTGCGATTCGCTGATCTCTCTCTCTCTCGAGGGAGAGGAAGAGAGAGAGGTGGTGGGGTGGTGGGTGGGCAGACTTTTGACTTTTAAACAACTTTTATTGCCGCCAGCAGCAACAGCACTGGAGGCGATTCCGATACGAAATAGAACAGTCACCAGCAAACAAATAAACAAACGCTATGAATCCACGCGCTGCGGCGCTAAATGGCTGGACAGAAAGACGAGTGAGAGAGAGGAGAATGAAGAAGGTAGAGACCACGACTGAGCGAGCAGATATATCCAGGATTGGGAAGTCCTTCTGCTGTAAATTCACGTAGAAGGGAAATAATAAAATAATAAAACATAAAACGTAAAAAAATAAAATTCTCATAAAATTCTCAGTGACAATTTTATTTTATTATGTTTTCTTTTTATTATATTATTACTTCCCTTCTACGTGACTTTACCGAAAGAACCAAGAAGATGAATCCCTGCAGTCACGAAAGCTTCAAATCGAAATTCCTCCTGTTGTGTTTTTTTTTCGCACCTGATGACGGACGCTTGCGTTGCGATCGAAACGTCGTGATCTATTATTATTTTTTCTACCCACGTGACTTCACCGAATGAACCAATGGGCATGGATTCCTGCAGTCACGAAAGCTTCAAGATTGGGAAGAGTTAAACAGATTTTAAAAAATCCCAGCCGACTGTAGTTAACACTCACCCCGCGGCCACACATCATCGCCACCGTCTCTCTCTTCTCTCTCTCGTGGATTTTCACGGCAATTTGCCACTAAGCGACAGCAGCTGTTGCATTTGCACCCCCCCCCGCCGCACCCCCCACCCATCCTCCCCCACAGTCGCTACCCAACAGCCCCACGCGGTGGCCTTGAGAAAATAGTCACACAGCCCGAACGTGTGCCCCCCCCCGCCCCACCACCAACCACGAAGATGAATCAATTCATGGGGGACTGCGATCAAACGTCAGCTCTGATGGGATGGGGAGAGAGAGAGAGAGGACACACCAACTCTCGAGAGGAGACCGCGAGAAAAGGGGAAGAGAAGCGGATGAGAGGCAACAGCAGAGGAGACAACAGCAGAGGAGAGGCAACAGCAGAGGCGGCAACAGCAGAGGAGGCAACAGCAGAGAGAGTGAGCGAGAGAGCGAGCGAGAGAGAGAGAGCGAGCGAGCGAGGGTTACATAAAGCCCCGTTAAAAAAAAATTACGAAATGATGAACGAAACAAAGTGCCGAATACACCGAGCATCTTCTTGTTTCCACTGATCGTAAAAAAACAGAGAGACGACATCGCAGAGTTCAGAGGTCACGACTGACCAGGGGCAGCTGAGGAGAGGAGGGAGTTGGGGCGGGGGGCTCTGTCCAGCAGTTGGGGAGTTACAGGCTGACAACAAAGACAAAGATCCCCCGTATAGCCTGCAACAGACTGTTGGGGTAAGTGCCGTGAGCGAGCTACGGGATACGATCGGGGCAAGGTGGCCATAACCACGCCCGGCCGCCTTTGTCTTGCTGATGCTGACGCTTGCACACGCACACACACACCAGCCGCCACTG